CCTCCACACCAAACTCGCTCATCCATGTCTTTATGGACCTTGCTTTGTGCACTGGTGCACAGTCATGTTGGAACAGGAAGGGGCCATCCCCAAACTGTTCCCACAAAGTTGGGAGCATGAAATTGTCCAAAATGTCTTGGTATGCTGAAGCATTAAGAGTTCCTTTCACTGGAACTAAGGGGCCAAGCCCAACCCCTGAGAAACAACCCACACCATAATCCCCCCTCCACCAAACTTTACACTTGGCACAATGCAGTCAGGCAAGTACCGTTCTCCTGGCAACCGCCAAACCCAGACTCGTCCATCGAATTGCCAGACAGAGAAGCGTGATTCGTCACTCCAGAGAACACGTCTCCACTGCTCTAGAGTCCAGTGGCGGCATGCTTTACACCACTGCATCTGACGCTTTGCATTGCACTTGGTGATGTAAGGCTTGGATGCAGCTGCTCGGCCATGGAAACCCATTCCATGAAGCTCTCTACGCACTGTTCTTGAGCTAATCTGAAGGCCACACGAAGTTTGGAGGTCTGTAGCTATTGACTCTGCAGAAAGTTGGCGACTTCTGTGCACTGTGCGCCTCAGCATGCGCTGACCCCTCTCTGTGATTTTACATGGCCTACCACTTTGTGGCTGAGTTGCTGTTGTTCCCAATTGCTTCCACTTTGTTATAATACCACTAACAGTTGACCGTGGAATATTTAGTAGTGAGGAAATTTCACGAATGGACTGCACAGGTGGCAACCTATCACGGTACCATGTTTGAATTCATTGAGCTCCTGAGAGCGACCCATTCTTTCACAAATGTTTGTAGAAGCAGTCTGCATGACTAGGTCCTTGATTTTATACACCTGTGGCCATGGAAGTGAGTGGAACACCTGAATTCAATAATTTGGAGGGGTGTCCCAAAACTTTTGGCAATATAGTGTTATAGTATATATATATATCTGCTGTTGCAGCCCATCCACCTCAAGGTTTGATGCTTTTCTGCTCACCATGGTTGTAAAGAGTGTTTATTTGACTTACTATATCGTTCCTGGCAGCTCGAACCAATCTGGCCATTTTCGTCTGACCTCTCTTATCAAAAAGACTTTTCCACCCACAGAACTGTCACTCACTCAGTGTTTTTTTTTTTTCGCACCACTCTGTGTAAACTCTAGAGACTGTTGTGTGTGAAAATCTCAGGAGATCAGCAGTTTCTGAAATACTCAAATCAGCCCTTCTAGTACCAGCATCCATGCCACGATCAAAGTCACAGAGATCACACTTTTTCTTCATTCTGATGGATGATGTAAACATCAACTGAAGCTCTTGACCTGCATTACTCTGCTGCCACATGATTGGCTGATTAGATAAGTGCATGAATGTGCAGTTGTACAGGTGTTCCTAATAAAGTGGATGGTGCGTGTATATGAATGACATTTTTCTCTTTTGATAATGGTCTCCATAAATGCTTTGGAATCTTTTAATACATGTATAGCTCTGTGAATGGTCGGTCTCTTTCTGTTGTGAAATTCTTGCCATTTAGCAAAATGTTCTTTAATCAAGCTTGAGGTTTTCACTGAGTCCTGCACCAATCAACGCAGTAACCTTGAATGTCCACAGGGACCATTAGTGTGGAGGTATCATTTAAATGTTTCATTCATTATAAATTGCCAAATGACAAAAGAACAGCAACCTGTTAGAGAATGCAACACTGGCATTCTATACTTTTTGAAGAAAAAGGGCGTTCACTTCCATTTAACAAGATGGAACAATAGCCTATTATGAAGCATGTGAAGAACATTTGAGAAATTCTAGCATCATCCTGAACACTATGTAGGCAGACACTAATGGAAGAACTACTGTATCTTCAGGAGTACACTAGAGAGTTAATAAGCTATTTAGTGAACATCTGTGCTGCAAGTCAACTAATAGGATTCCACAAGTGTTTTATCTATGTGTTACACATGTTAATTGTACAAGAACTGAGGATTATTTATATCATCATTTAATAGGAGGAATGACATAGAAAAACACAAGATTTATTTGCTCTACTGTTTGCAGATGGTTTACAGTTACAGCATTTGTCAGACACTGTTATCCTGAGCAGCTTACATTTATCTCAGTTATACAACTAAGCAGCTGAGGTTTTGAACTCACAACCTTCTGATCAGTGGTCTAACGTCTTAACCACTGAGCAACCACCGCAAACCTATGGTTGTAACAGAAAATGCATCATACCTAAAGAATACAGCAGAGAAAAGCTACAATGCCACTAATGTGCTGGCTGCTACTGTGTCTGGAGAGAAGTGTTATGATCTGACATCTAATCATCTGTGTGTGTGTGTGTGTGTGTGTGTTTTCGAAGGTGGGCGTATCCCAGGGCTGCTGTTTTGTTTGCAAGTGTGACAGCAGCAGCAGAAGCACGCACACAAACGCACAAATGTGTTTCTCTCTGATTCACATTCTGCTCCAGCATGGCCATATGAACAAATGAATGCTACACGCCTGTCTTGTTTTCCAAGAGAGCTGAGTTGATAGGTAGCAAATGCACCTGCACTCTAATCATCATTCCCACTGAGAGGAAACAAAGAGGGAAAGAATTCTGCATACACTCTCACCCATATGAAATACAAATACAACTACCATAATAATAACTGTGCCAGCCCTGTTCACAACACAATAAGAGGGTGTCAGTCAGAGAATTAGGGTCGAATTTGAGGAGGCAGCCTCTCCTGATCATGTTTATTGCCGGTAGCACCCCAGCTGAGATGATGACCAGTTGCTGTCACATTCAGGAAAAGGCTTTAAAGAAGTAGGGAGAAGGCATGCTGACAAGATGGGCAAAAACAACTGAATGTGGAGAAGGGGAGGTGGGAGGACAGAGAGGGGGGTACTGTGGGATGCTGCAGAGAGGGAGGGGAGACAGACAGAGAGACAGAACAGGGGAGGGAATGAGAGTAGGAGGAGGGGATCGAGCTGAGGAGAGAAAAAGCGAGAAATGAGTGAACAACCAGAAGGGACAGCATGAGAGAAGGAAAAAGAAACAGGGAGACAGAGAGAGAAAGAGGGAGACAGAGGTAGAGCAATGGAGAACACACTCCATCTGGCAACCATGACAACCGAGGCAAGTGCACGCCAAACACGGTGGCTATGACACGGGAGAACATGGAACGAAAGAAAACGGCAAGAGCAGCTCAGAATGGCCACCACTATGAAGAAGGACACTTCTTCCCTTTAACCCAACTCATTCATGGTGGATTTTTTTCATCCTTGTGCTTTTTTGATTGTGTTTTTTCCCTATTCGCTCTGTAGTGGTGGAGAGGAGTGGGGGTGAATGGAATGCTTTCTGTTGCTGGCCATCACAGAGTGCTTCCCTCATTTGCAGGGAGAAATATGAAGAGCTTTAAGTAGAAGTACTCCTACCTTGATGGAGTCTTTGATGGATTCCCTGAGGTGGGCTTGAACCCACTCACACCACATGTTTCCCTTTTGGAACAAACAAGCCAAACTGGAAATCCAAACTCATCCTCTTCAAATCTGCACTGAAAATCCAAAGAGGTGAACCATGTAAAGCTAATGTCTTTGGGTGAGTTCACATTTGCAACCTTGTCTGAGAAAATGTGAAATGTGTTGTTTCAGCCTAAGACTCAATATGCATTTTCCCTTCAGCATTTAAATGTGGATCTGTTAATCTTGCTTTTAGAGAAAATTTCATTTTCTGGATCAACTTACAGCATTTAGTAAACTGCACCAACATATCAAGTGAGTTGCACTGAGGCAATAGGAAATCCTAAAGCCAATTAGGTAAAAAAAAAAAAAAAAAAAAAAGATGTGTATATATAAAAGCAGCTAATATTGCAGCTGTGAAATTGTGCAAGCCACAGCACAAATTGGTACATCAAGAACAAATGCATTGATGTTATACCTGGTCCAATTTTAGCTCTGGCTGCACTGCAATATCCTCATATCCAAACCGAGCAACAGCTGTGTATGCTGTATGTGGTTGTTACTCCAATCCAGACTATTCTACTCAAGGCCTTTAGGGACGGGTGACCTCTCTCACTCCAGCAACCTTTTCAAAGGACACAAACACAATTAAGTGCTGCACTTATCAGTGACTCTCAACTGGTGATTAACAGTGTACAATGAATCTCCCAAGGCAGCACTCACTAAACACCAGAAAGCCTGAAGCCCCAGATTTATGGGAGGACATGGGACAGACTAGGCATTTTTCTGTCAATGTGCATTGAATTTAATCAATTACTATTGCCTAAAGATGGCTATATGGTGCATCAGTGCAGTACAGCACAAATGCTATTAAGAATCATTTTGCATCAGTTCACGAAAACAAAGTGGATTTAGCTGGCTGAAAAAATTCACTAAACCCAGTACAATTATGCCTTTCACACAGGCTTTAGTAATTAATCAGCATAATTTCTGCCCCTGCAACTTTTTCAGTGACAGGGAAAAATGGTAGAATCATCAAAGTGTCAATGATTATATAATCCTGGTTCCATGTTGTCGGTGGTTGGTCTTTTTTTTTTTTTTTTTTTTTTTTTTTTTAACATCTCTGTTAACACCTTTCAAATGCAATCACTGAAACATCCCAGGGGGTGAAATTATAACACAGTAACAGAGTGAAACCAAAACACACAATAATCACTCCAAGTGGGTTTGATAATTTGGATCATTACCATTAACTATGTTGGGTAAAAGCAAACATTTAAAATAGTCCTTTCACAATATCTGACACTCCCACTAGTTTTTCTAGCTACATTGACCAGAAATGTGCACTGTGTGTCAGGTGGTGTAGGATGACAAATGCATCGGGGGTAGAAAAGTGCAGTCCATGTATACTTTAGAAAGACACAGTCCATAATACAGACACAGTGTGACCATGCCTGCTTAATCTCCTCTGTTCCAGGAGGACATTGTGTTTACAGATAACAAATGACTGGCATGCACATTTTAATTAAAGACTAGTGCTGATGCTTTGAATAAATCACCAAAGAGACATTCCAAGGTTTTACTACCCAACAGTCTCCTCTAGGTGATGAGAAATGTGAATTCCTCCATTGAGAAATGTAATGAGGGTTTGTTGTCATGCTTCATGCCACTGTGCTGCAATACTAGAAAGACTAAGCTATGCCAAAAATATATTTTTCCAGAAACTCCTTTGGTTTTAGTGACATCACAGAAGCCATGGCCTTATGACTGTTTAAGCAACATTTAGTTTAGTTGTTTCAGAAAGAGCAGCTTAATGTAAACAGCAGCTCATTGATCTCTCTGTATACACTCACCATCCACTTTATTAGGAACACCTGTACAGCTGCACATTCATGCAGTTATCTAATCAGCCAATCATGTGGCAGCAGCACAATGCATAAAATCATGCAGATACAGGCCAAGAGCTTCAGTTAATGTTCACATCAAACATCAGAATGGGGAAAAAGTGTGACCTCTGTGACTTTAACCATGGTATGGTTGTTGGTGCCAGATGGGCTGGTTTGAGTATTTCAGAAACTGCTGATCTCCTGGGAATTTCAGACACAACAGTCTCTAGAGTTTACAGAGAATGATGCGAAAAACAAAAAATATCCTGTGTGCGGAGGGTCTGCAGGCTGAAACACCTTGTTGATGAGAGAGATCAGAGAAGAATGACCAGACTGGTCTGAGCTGGCAGGAAGTCTATAGTAACTCAAATAAGCACTCTTTACAACCGTGGTGAGCAGAAACGCATCTCAGAATGCATCACACAACAAACCTTGAGGCGGACGTGCTACAACAGCAGAAGACCACATCAGGTTCCACTCCTGTCAGCCAAGAACAAGAATCTGAGGCCATCATGGGCACAGACTCACCCAAACTAGACGTTTTTGCACCATTCTGTCTAAACTCTAGAGACTGTTGTGTGTGAAAATCCCAGGAGATCAGCAGTTTCTGAAATACTCAGTTCAGCTCTGGCACCAACAACAGTGCCACAGTTAAAGTCCCAGAGGTCACACTTTTTCCCTATTCTGATGTTTGATGTGAACATTAATTGAAGCTCTTGACCTGTATCTGCATGATTTTATGCATTGTGCTGCTGCCACGTGATTGGCTGATTAGATAACTGCATGAATGTGCAGGTGTACAGGTGTTCCTATTAAAGTGGACAGTGAGTGTATGTTCAGTTAGAAAATAATATATACAAAGAAAGAAAGGAAGAACACCAGAATTGCTGCCTGGCTCTCCTGTGCTCTAGTAAACAATTGCCTACCTACCTAATTAGCATCTCAGGCTGAGTGCCATGTGTTTTCAAAATACTGGCAGTCGCTCTGCTTATCACCACCATTTAGCATTTACCTAAGATTAACAGCCTAAGCATTCTCTGTGTGTCCTTTTCTTCCTCTCTACCATCCCAGACATGATGCATTTGATAGAAGGAGGCCTTGGTTTCTTTGGCTGGAACATGAAATTCTTCTGAGTTGGATGCCTTAATTAATTATTTATTATGATTTTATATACTTTTTCTAACAAGCAAATTGAGATTAATGCTTCTTAAAATGAGGTGTGAGGAATAATAGGAATGCTCAGCTTATGTACATTGTGTAATTCAAGCTTTAGCCAATGCCTACATTAAGAATCTACTTTGTCACAAAAGATCAGTGAAAACAATAATATAAAATTGCATTTGTTGCAGCAAGTCATTCTGTGCACACTACAGCACATTTAACCAGTGCATATGCAGAGAAAAGGAGGAACTATATGAGTCCTGTTACCAAATATCTGTCAGATACCTCTCACATAATATGATTTATGTGCTAAGCATGATGTGTGATATACAATTTTTGTTACTTCTATGCTTCCTTACAATTCATTTAATCACATTTGTACCAAAATGTCAATTGTATCATGTATACACATTTTATGGTCAGGTAATGTAATTTCTGTGCCTAAGAAATGTCTTTTTTTAAATCATTGGTTCACCTAAACATTTATTTACATCATTTAAGGGAGTTAAACACAATATAAAAAATGGTTTTGGTGTTGGCCTTTGTATCTACATTTAGATGCAGTTAAAAGGAGAGTTTAATTAACATTTAACATGAGAGAACAACATTAGAGTAGCAAGGCCCAAATGAGAGCTGTCCACAGAGCCCTTGCATTATTAATCCCTTCTTCATGATGCCATCACATCACATTAGCCGGAAGCAATAGTCAACCAA